ATGCCTTCGCCAAGGCAATAGCTTGGAAGGACTTGGAACAAGAGCTTCATTTTGTTTGATTATTGTATATGTTTTGCACAGGCCAATGGCCTTTTACTGTTTTAGATTTAAATCCACTTTTGTTGTAACTAAGTATCATCTTGGAAAGTTGTAAGCCTTTAGGACATTTATTATTTGTTTTACTTTCATATCATATCTCTTATTGTAACACATGATACAGATTCAGGTTTAGAGCTTGTGAATGTGTAAATGCATGTGTTATCTTTTGTATAATTCAAATCATATATAAATGGAAATGATATTCATTTTGGAATCACATTATCTTATTTGGTTATACATCATGAGCTGTCATTATATTTTCGGGACGTTACAATGAATCTATGAGTTTCATATTGACTTCATCAAAGGATTGTTTTTACTATTATGTTCACAAAAGAGAGAGTGTTCTTCAGTGGATTTCAGGGTACTTGGGCTTGAAGTTTTGGTCGATTTTGGAGTGGCTCATTATTGTGGATTCGACATCAGCGTTGTGGATTCCATGTTAGGGAAGATAATTTCAAGGTGAAGACAGTATTAGAAGAGACACATCGGGTTTGGTTCAATTTGTGCATAGATTTGCTAAGTAATTGAAAGTACTCTTGTATAATTCCTATTTTTGTTTTCTTAATGGATTGTTTTGTGGTTTTAGCCCGTGATTTTCATCACAATTGAAAGCACTCTAATTGTATTTTTTTCATGCTAAATCGTTATATTAATTTGTTATTGATTGTTTGATTATGATTAGTATACACTATTTAAAGTTGAAATATAATCACGAATAAATATTTCGAGGATTTAAGATTTTTCATGGCATCGTGAGTGAGGTGTGATCGATAAAAATTGATATTATTAAAGTGTTTCAAAGAAAAAAAAGAGTAAAATTTAAATTTCTTATTGGGGTAGATTTAGCGGCTCCCACTTCTTAAGAACGAGTGAATTATTTTATTTATTAATTAGCATGATATCCATTCTGGGCATAGTCCTTAATAAATATACAAAAAATTAATTTAAATTTAAATAGTAAAAATATTAAATATATATTATAATGGTTTTGAATGAATTAATTCTACTTATTTTTATCAAGTCTACATTTCTAGTTTTTATTATTTTTTCTTTTTCTTTCATTAATAGTGTCATGGATTGGCCATATATTCAACCCATTTTCTAGTGACGCTCACATGTCCGCCCGTCAACTTCTCCTATTTGATCAAATTTTCACTCAACCTATCTTCACCTTTGTTATCAGCCCTGTTTGGTAGAGTTGTGGAAAAGTACTTATAGCTTATGCCTCAACAACTTATAACTTATAACTTTCAGCTTAAGCTGATTTTCAGCTTATTCTTAAAGCATCTCCTGCCCCACTCAAAGAATAAGCTGATTTCTGACTTCCAAAAAGTTATAAACTATAAGTTATAAGCTAAACTAAACACATCAAAATAACTTAAATTAAGCTGAAATCTGAAATAAGTTGTAATTAAGCTCTGCCAAACAGGCACATCCTAACTTAGTCGATATCCCTTTGTAAAAACATTATATTTGATTATAAATCTTGTTCTTACTTCTAAAATCAATATATTTAGGCCTTATTTAGGAATGATATATTTAACTAAAAAAGTCAAAGAGTCACTACAAAATGTCAAAATGTTTTACTTTTTACACATTTTTTTTTTTTTGTAAAAAACTAAAATGTTACTAACAAATTCAATTCTCAAACCAACGCTTATTTTCATCATTTTTCTCTTTTTCATATTTTCTCATTTGGTATATATTCCTTTAAATTAAAAAAAAAAAAGAAGATTTGAGACGAAACTAAAATATATAAGGAAAAGATATTAAAAACCAAAAATACCTATATGATTTTGACTTTTCAACTCTCAAACCAACGCTTATTTTCATTACTTTTCTCTTTTCATATTTTCTCATTTGCTATATATTCCTTTCAATTAAAAAAAAAGAAGAAGATTTGAGACGAAACTAAGGCCTAGTTTGGGAAGACTAAATAAGTGCACTTTTTGACTTTTTATGAAATATGGGTTGGGTTTGGGTTGGGTTTGAAGTGATGTGTTAGAGAGATGATGTGACTTAAATAAGATGATGTGACTTAAATAAGATAGTGACTTTTTGACTTTTTGTCTTTTTTCAATCTTCCCAAACTAGGCCTAAAATATATAAGGAAAAGATATTAAAAACCAAAAATACCTCTATGATTTTGACTTTGTTGCATATTAAAATCCAAGTTCTACTAAAATCACTCTCATGATCTAATCATATTATTTTTTTATTTAAACGTGATATAATTTAAAAATAAAAAATAAACCCACAAAATAAATAAATAAATTAATAAATATTTGAATTGGGCATATCATTTGACCCGCTGTTAGAATTAAAGAATGAAATGTATTTATTTTTGATAAGTTATGCAAAATTTTATAAATTAATTTTAATTGGAATTTTTTTTAAAGATCCCTGATATTAAGATTTTATAAAATAAATGATATATAATATTTTCACAGTAGTTAAGGTCTCTCAACATTTCTACGGAGAAAATTCGACTCAGAGAAATTTCGTCTTGACTCGGAGAAATTTTAGTTTTCACAAAGAAATTTCTTGATTTTACAGAGAAATCACACCAGAGAAATTTCAAATTTTTCTGGAATAGGATGAAATTTATTTGAATTAGGCAAAAATTTTCTGTGAAAATGTTGGAAGGCCTTAGCTAATAAAAAAAATATTTTGGACCTCTCCTACTACACAAAATTAAAAATGATTGATGTTTCACTAATTTTTTCCATTTTAATATTAAACTTAGGTATTATATGATATGACATTTTATATGACACTAATATGTAGTTGATGGGTTTCATTTGATATATGTGGTTAGTGCTATGCGACACAACAGTCAACATAATGTTATTAAAATTTTATTTAAGACTGATTTTCTTTTTAAATATTTTAAATATGTATAATTAAAATTTGGTATTATACTTTTTATCTAAAAATTTTCAAATTCAAATGTGATTTGACTTAAATATGACTAAGATTTTATTTTGAACCTTTTATGTAAAAGTTTTTAAAATTTTAAATTAGATAGGGTTAGATAGACCAATAGTTTTGTAACTTGTGTATTTCTTAATTTTTGAAAATTAAAAATTTTGAGAAATTTAAAATTTTAATATCAATCTTCTAGAATCTCTTAGATAAAAAAAAAAAAAAAATGAAACTTTGTGGGATATTTTAAATTTAATAATTCAGATTTTTTTAATGGAAGATATCTTGGTGTTTAGATGATAATTTTCACGTGACATGATAAAATTTGGGTAAGACGTGGGTATATATTTTTGGTATTATACTAACTAATTTTTTAAAATTATATCTCAGTCAAGCTATTTTTACCGGCTAAATTTAATACAGATAGATACAAATTAAAATTAAAATTATTTTTTAAAAGATCATGAGTTAAGAAAATTTTAAAATATTATTATATTGATGAATGACTCAATAATAATTTTGTTTTTCTAAATTTTGAAAGTTAAAATATTTGACTTAACTGCTAGATATATATAAAATGTTTTAAAAGAGTTAAAGATAAAATATCAATTATAATACTACTATATTGATCAAATTAACAATGTTTTAAAGGAGGCAAGATTTAAATGTCCAATATATTAGCATATTGATTAAATGTCCAATAATTTCATGACATGTGTATTTTTGTATTTTTAAAATTGAAAAAAAATTACATTGACACTTTAAAACTCAAATACTTAACAACGTTTTTACTTATGTAATGATATAAATTTTAAATTAAATGAGGTAGATAAACCAATACTTGAAAATTTATAATTAATATTTCGCATATCTCTTAATTTTTCCTTTTGAATTTTAGGAGAGAGAATAGATTTGAGTAAATCAAAAAAGAGATTATTTTATCTTTCCTTATGACAAATATAAATTTGGAATCATTACTATTTTATATTTATTGATTTAATGGGTTAGTCAATAGTTTTTTTAAAATTATTTTTAATTAAAAAAATTCACAAATTTAATTAAAAGTGTTGTAGTTTTTACAATGCTCTTTGCGAAAAATCTCTTTTGTTTAATATATAATACAAATATATAGATGGATAGATGCATATAGACATAGTTTTGGAAGAAAATTTAAAAACTTTACTATACTTGATGGGTAAAGATTAATGTATGAAATATGAAATATTTATTAATTTTATAATAATTATAAAATCAACAAATAAAATTGCAAAATGTTTATTTTTATATTTTTACAAAATTTAAATTATGAGGAATAATAATTGAAATTTTGAACTTCTAACACCCCCCATAATGTTTTTACTCATATTATATATATAATAATTTCAATCTAATTTTTAAAGACGACTTTATCAATTGAATTGGATTGATACCAAATAAAAAATAAAATAGTAAGAGCATCTTTTATGCTTACTTAGATGTTTTATCAAATTTAAATTTGATAAAATTCATCCTTTTTTCTGCTCCAATCATGGCATCTCACCTATATTAAATAAAGGCAATGCTAAATTTTTCATCAAATCATAGGAACGTTTAATTTCTCATCAAATTTCTTAAATAATTGTTGATGGACGATCGGTGGGACAATTAGGAGGATGATCAACTTGGGAAAATTTTGTTGAAAATTTACTCTAGATTGAATGACCGACTAGATGATCACTTAAATTTGATGAAATAATTGAAACGCAATATATTAGATCAAATTTTTAATTAAATTTTTTACTCAAATTTAATAATTTTTTTTTATAATGAAGACGCTAAAGGGCAAAATTCACATAAAAAACAACCGCCTCTTTAGGCAACAGGGTAAAAATCACTTTTTAACTTTTTAATCTGTCACCTTTATATTTTTTTTTTCACATTTAAAAAAAAAAACGCAAAAAAACAAAATTTTAATCAAATTTTCAAACACAACCCAAACTTGTGTCATGAGTCATGGTGGTGGCTAAACAAACCCGCAGCCAGACGTCCGGGTCGGTTCGGGTCGCCCGGAAACCACGAGCCATGTCGCCGTCTTCGTTAACACCGAGAGAGACAGGTAGCAAGGCAACTCGGACAGCCGTCGACATCTCCGAAGCCATTTAACCGTTTTTCCTACTTTCCTTTCCTTTCCTTCACTTTCCCATCCAATCCTTCAATCTTTCCTCTTTGAGCTTTCGCTCGGAACTCAATTCTCTCCAATCGCTGCAAAATGAACTCAACGTTGAGGATTTCATCATCAATGGCCACCATGAATGTTCCTTCTCCAATCAAGCCTCAATTTCAGAGAACCTCCTTGTTTGGTCTCAAAGAAAAACAACCCTGTTTCAGAATCCATGCCATGTCCAACAACGGCGCTGTTTCTCGCTCTTGCCCTGACGAGGTCACCATTCCTTTCATATATAATGTCTGTGTTTCTGTATATGTATATGTGGGGTGTGATTGTGTATGATACCACTTGGGATGAAAACTAAATCTTCCCAAATTCAGTTATCTGTTGGGGTTTTTCTTTGATTATATGTCTCAATTTGTTGTTGTTGTTGTTAATTGTTTGATCAATACTGATTTGTTCATTTAAAATTGCTTTTGTTTGTGCATTTGCTGTGATGGGTTGTTGTTGTTATTCAATTTAATGGTGTTTATATTGAACTACATTGTTACATAACTTACATTTGGTTTGGGAATGGCTTTAGTTTGCTGTACCGATTCACCATCCCTGCCCTCTACTCCACCCCTTCTAGTGTTGCTGCATTTTCACAATTTACCAAACAAGTGATTATTCTTTTCTACAATATGGTCCTAACTCCTAACACTGTGTTTCGTTCATAGATTGGAGTAGGGATTTGGAAAGTGATAGAGAAAAGACAGGCGAAATGTGAATGAAATATAACTATATTTTACACATCTTTTCTCTTTCTCTTTCCAAAACCCTTCCCAAATCTATGAACCAAACACAGCCTAAGTGTGGAGGACCTAAATGGAAAAGGGCTCTCCACTGAGTAAGTGATCCTTGCTGAAGAGATGTTACATCGCATGGAGGAAATTGACTTTGGGCTGAGAAGAAGTACCTTTTTCCGAGTAAGTAGAGTAGATGAGTTCCATTATGGATTTCACAGAAAGTAAGAATAGCAGCCATTCATGATCGTCTATATAAGTGCACGTCCACCAGAAAATTTGATCATGACAAATGTATAGATTTATTTTAATATATAAAAATATATTTTATAAGATAGATAATTATTATTATTATTTTTTATATATTTTTTATGCGTTGAGTTATTGTTAAAATGAAGTAACTATGTTGTTAAGTAAGAAAACCCAATGATAATTGAATAAATAACAAATACATTCATATATAGTAAGAAGTGGAGTTGCTTCCCAGCGGGTATAACACTCTTCCCATGCGTGATACGTTGCACTTGCGACTCAAGGAGCCACTATTTTTTTACCATAGCATTAAATGTGATTCAATTGTTGTACCGAAGACATGTGTGGCACTCTTTCTTTTTGAAGAATAAACAAACTTTATTGAAAAAGTATTAAAGCGATGCAAAGAATACAAAAATCTTAGAAAAAGAACAACCCTCAGAAAAACTTAACTAATCAATTCATCATTTTTATCTACAAAAGCCAACACATCCGGATCCACCGAAACAGTGACCTAGCTATTCAGCACAGTAGGAAGCCGCCTTTCCAACCACGAAACTGAATGAGACACACCCTGAAATATACGCCTATTACGTTCCAACTAGACCAACCATATAAGACACTGGGATGCAAGCATCCATGCCTTCTGACCCAGCTATGTGTGGCACTCTCTATAATTGGTTAGAATATAGTTTGTGTGTTTGAGTAGAAGAATCTGTGAATTTAATAAGAAGAATACATGACTTTGACGTGAATTGATCCACAATTCGTAGATCTACGCGTTAGAGCGCGATTCACTGATGTACTGTGACGAATTAGGTGACATAGGTCCGAAAACGAGAGCCCTTCCCTATTCTTGGGAAGGAAACTGCATGCCAACTAATCAAATCATCTTTTCTCCCTTCCCCTCACCACTGCCACAGTAAATTCCATATCAATTTCTGAATCCTATTAGTCATATTGATCAGAACTCTAAACAAAGATAAATAATAAATGGGTACACTGGACAAAATAGACTGAGCCAAGGTGAAACTCACCCTTTAGAAATCAACACTCTTTTCTACACATAAATCTCTTACCAATCTTCTCCATTACCGGAGTCTGAAAAATCTTGGACCTTTGATTCCCCCCAAAAGAAGCAATAAATACGTAAAGATTCAAAGGGGCAACCTAATAGCCCAACCAATCTTTGTAATCTATCTCGTGGAAAATTAATCCTACTGTTGGTGGAAATTAATCAAAACGATGGTACACTTATGCACGATAACCGTAAACCAAAAAAACATTTAAAACATTCTTAATATAGAGAGAAGATTAACCATTTTAGCTTTCTCACTAGAAGAGAAAACGGCATCATCTGCAAATTGTAGATGGGACATTGAAGCATTATCTCACAAAACCCTCCGATGTCCCGTCTCGTTAGCTCTATAAACCAATCTAACTCAAAACATCAACAGCTATAGTAAATAGTAAACCAAAAAAAAAAAAAAAAGGGACAAAGGATTTGACACCTAGTGATGTAACACAAAACTAGGCAGAGACTGGTGATCTCAATCACAAATCAAATATCTCAAGCTCAGTAATCAATAATCATAATCTAGTCTCTAAAGCTATTACACAGAGCCATATATGTATAGGTATCATGGAATTCCCTAATTAAATTACAGTTACCAAAAATAAAACATTACAATAATTAAATCTTAATAAAACAATAAAACCTAATAAAATAATAATATCCAATAAAATATAAAAGAATACCAAAAGAAATCCCTAAATCTTTATCTAATGTTTTTTCGATCTCTATCATTTCCCCCCAGCTGAAGGAAACTCTCCTCTGGATAGTTGTGAAGATAAAATTACTCCATGAGATAAAACTCAAGCTGGTGAAATAGTTTTTCAATCCATATTGTATGCGATTGACAAAATGCTTTCACAACAAGATGAGAATGAGAAGCTCCATGGAAGATAACTAAGTCTCGGCTAAGAGATGATACTGGAAAAGGATCACCTCCTGTAGAAAAATCCACAAACAAGGCATGAGGCTTCAAAGGGCCTCAATCAAGCATCATATCCTCCATATGAAATTAGGACCAATATTTAAATGAAATGGTAAACCAGTAAAACATGCATTTGGTCCATGCTCAACAAATAAATATTTTCATTAAATGTTAACGTGAAATACTTGGAGGAAGAAGGAACTTGATGTACAGGAGTGACAATCATGCCATGATCACAAAAATAATCAAGCACATACATAAGAGAACTATTAAAATCAATTAAAAGAATAGAGTTAATAGACTCATAAGATGTATCATTAAGAATTACCTCAATTGAACTCTCAATAGTTGATAAAGTAGGAACGACATACCTGAGAAGGTTCAATGATATGATAGACTAACAAGTATCCTCATCAGCTTTAGAATCGATGGTTGAACAAAGCAAAGACTTGAACACTCAACTAATGTTTGGCACTGGAATTGATTCAACGTGTTTCTCAAGTACCATAATTGGTGGGATTCAACCTTCAATTAGGATTCTACATTTTTGGTGACTTTGGGATGAGAAAAATGATAGAACATGAATGTTATTCAAGTAATCATGAAATTCACAAGTGACAATAGGGATGAACAACATAGAAGGGAAGCCATAGCCTAATTCATACAATATTATTATAAACAACTATGAATAATACAGTGAGAAACTTATTATTTATAACCTAACAACCCTAATTAAATTACGAACCAAATATTTTTAATTTTTAATTTAATTTTATTTTATTTTAAAAAAAATACTAATAATAAATCTACCAATTACATTGTGAGATCCTAATTGGGTAAACATATCCCAACTAGTAATTATGTAAATTCTACTAAAACACTAGTAATAAACCTACTAATTACATTTTGAGATCAAAAAGTCTTTGGTCCTTGCAATGGTCCCATGGGCTTCACCCTAGACTTGCCAAGCAGGTAATGGGCCTCTAGTTGACCATGATGACTGAAAGGACGTGAAAAATCCAGACTTCGAAAGTGGTGGGCATTTGGGAAAGTAAGGTCGATTGGATGTCTTCATCCAAGCAACGGTATAGAAGAAGAATGAAACAGAGTAAGAGGCCGGAGTTTCATTTGACCAGGTGAAGTGGCACAAGATTTGCCTCTTGGCTTATTTCAAGATATTGATTCCTCCACAAAAAGAAATTATTCTCGTGTCAACAAATTAGAAGAGATGTTAACCAGCAATTGAATTTGGAAACACCTCTAATTAAATTACAAAACCAAATCTTAATAATATTTGGAAACATAACTAAGCATATCCTAACTAGTAATTATGTAAATTATACCAAAATATTAATAATAAATCTACCAATTACATTTGTGAGATTAGTCTTTGGTCCATGCGATGGACCCATGAACTTCACCATAGGTTTCCAAAGCGGGTAGTGGGTCTCTAGCCAATTAAGGGTTGCACCATACAATTTTCATTCACTGAAAATAACTCAACTTTGTAAGTTAGGAGCTATGAAGCACGGATACTTCAAAAAGGGTGACGTATCCGTATCAGATACTTATCAGATACCGATACTCCTCGGATACTCGCGGATACGTATCGGATACTTCTTAAAAGTATCGGATACTTCTTAATTAATTTTTTATTAATTTTGAAGTATCGGATACTTAATTTTGAAGTATTGGATACTCGAAGTTACGTATTACTTATAATATTTTGTTTAGTTCTTTGATAAGAGGAATATAGTGAGAGTTAAAGTAATAGAATTTGTCAAATTGATGTATCCTTGTTGTCTCTCTCACTTCTCTCTCGCTTTCTCACTCTCTCACGTTTCTTCTCTCTGCTCTCATTCTTTTTTTGGTGTTGGCATGTAAGGATGATGTTTAATTTGCATTTGCATTTGCATTTGCTTTTGCTTTTGCTTTTGCTTTTGCTTTTGCTTTTAGTTTTGGATGTTTTATGAATGTTTGAGCACTTTTAGGTTAATAGGAATCCCTCTTTTTATTTATTAATTTACTTTAAGTTTTATTTTCATGCATATTACATTATTAAAATTATAATTTTCTTTTTTTTACGAATGTATCCCCGCTGTACCTGTATCATACTTTTTCAAATTTTGACATATCGCCATATCCACATCCCCATATCACCATATCCGTATCCGTGCTTCCTAGGCTATCATTGATGACTTAAAAAAGTATATTTGCTGAAATTTTTATTTAAGAATGGTTTTTTGGCTTTAGCTAAGGTCTGTGATATTCACTGATGAAGGGGAACAAGTTGAAGCTATTGAACTTGAAGACTCTTAGTTTTATAGGAATTTTTCTTCTTTATCAAGTTATCTTTTGCTTTAGGTTTTATTTTTATGCATACTGCATTACTAAAAATTGTTAAAATAATATTTTTTATGAACGTATCCCCGCCGTACCCGTATCCTAGTTTTTCAAATTTTGTCGTATCGCCGTATCTGTATCGTATCGTATCGTATCCGTATCCCGTATCCGTATCCGTATCCGTGCTTCCTAGGTTAGGAGCATGTCCAAGAATCCCATATGAATGAGAAACGCGCCAAATTGACGAGGAATTTTTCTTTAATTTAACGGTTTTGGAGCCGGTGGCACAAGAAGGTTTGGGTGGTTGGTTTCCAATGGTTGGCTTACAGCTGGACAATGGAGCTATATATATGTGTGTGTATGATCACAAAGACTAAATTATATATGCGGATTAAGGTTAGTGGGTTGAATTAGACTAGTAGCATTGGGTTTGTGGATATGGTGTGTTGCTCTTTCTTTTCCATAAACCTCTGTTGCTTCTATTCTGTGGTTTGGGCCAAACTGGTCTTTGCGATTAAGTTGTAGATTGTGGGGGTTGGTTGGGAAGCGATAAAGAGGGATGGCTGACTTGGGTCAATTGAGTGGTTCATGGTTTAAAATACTAGTTTCTTCGAAGCGAACCGGTCTGTTCTTAGTTTGCTTACACCCCAATATACCGTTGAGACCAAACAACGAAAGGGAACCGGCCGATTCGCATAATTAATTAATTAATATTTCTAAAATTTTGTACTTGTTTTATTTAAATTTAACATTTATAATGTCAGCCATTTCTTGCCTAAATGTGAGGCAATCGGTTGGAACAGGTTCTGGTTTAGAGCAAGAGCCCTTTTATAAGGTGAGGGGGATCCTCACATTCCCTTTCCCCATCAACATGGGATAGTGTTAAAATCCACCTACTCTCCACCGATTCGCATAATTAATTAATTAATATTTCTAAAATTTTGTACTTGTTTTATTTAAATTTAACATTTATAATGTCAGCCATTTCTTGCCTAAATGTGAGGCAATCGGTTGGAACAGGTTCTGGTTTAGAGCAAGAGCCCTTTTATAAGGTGAAGGGGATCCTCGCATTCCCTTTCCCTATCAACATGGGATAGTTCTTGTGTATTAAAGAAGTGAGGCACTTGACTTGTTTATTTTGTGGACTTGCATGCTTATAGTTATATCTTCAATGCAGTCTATGTGGGATAGCAAGACAAACTTGATAGAGTTTGAACATGCCACCTCTGTGGCTCTGTTGAAATTCAATGTATAAAGAGAATTGTATTATTGATTGATATTTGTTGATGATGATTTCTATTACAATGATTCATGATTCCTATATATAGAAGAGAGGATGTGGGAAGAGAATAGGTGAGTGTGTAGTAGGTATGGAGTAGGTGAGGAGTAGGTGGAGAGTAGGTGAAGTAGGTGAGTGTGTAGTAGGTGGTAGTGGTAGGTGTGTAGTAGGTGAATTTTAACAGCCCCCGCAAACTCAAGGGGGATAGGAACTAACCAACTTGAGTTTAGAGAGAGTAACAAAACAAGAAAATACATAAAAATAAAAGAGGATAGGAGACACTGGTTTTGAATAGCACCCTAACTCACCTCCTACACTCTTCCTCTCTTAGCATTGGCAGAGTCTTGGCTAGGAGAGTAAAAACAATGCACACCATTGATTTTGAAGAAGTTTTTAATGATTTTTTAATTTTCACGACTGTGACACCCAATTCCTGATACGTAACAACCAATACTCCCAATACACAATACACCGTGACCGATACTGATACGTATCTAGTTACTGCAATTTAGAACCGTGGAGTGGTTATGGACATTTTAGTAGCTCAAATAGAAAAATGGATGAGCATTGATTGATGGGTCAACAATGATTGATGATCAAAGATTTTTTTTTCTTTTGTATTTAGTATGAAAGGCCATTTATGTGTATATAAATTTTGAAAGGGCAAAATTGGAAAAGCAATTAATTTGACTACTGATGTAAGAAATTTCCGTCCTTTCCATTAATGGTGAATTAACAGGAGGTTAGTGCCATTTCAGAGACCTCAGGGAGGTCTCTGTAATTATCATAATGTAGTCAATACTGATTTGTGGCTGAATTTTTTTTAGTCCTAGATTTCCAACAGCCTCCAAATATTTATTGTTAATGATATATATATTTAGTGATTTATTATATTATCACATACTAAGACCAACCAGATAGGTTATAAATTATGAGGGATAAGTGATGCTGCCTTGTCATATGTGATTCACAACATGATATATGTGTAGTCTGAAAAGGGAATAATGTTTCCTGCATTTCTGTAATTGGAGAAAAGAAAAAAAGGCTGATGATTTATTACCTTGTTTTTGGAAATAGTATCATCTGTACTTGTTGTTTTGCCATAAGAGAGAAATGGTACATATACATTGACATAGAATATTCTGATATTGCAGGCATCATCTCGTTCAGTTGAAGATGCCCATAGGCGAAGAAGCAGTCTTGAGTCTTTGTTCTGTTATGATAAGGCTATACCGGAGGAAATAATTGAGAAGCCAATAGGTTTATCTTTGGCGGAGAAAAAAATTGGAGATAATCCCCACTGCCCTGATTGCCAAGCCAAGGGGGCTGTCCTTTGCAGCACTTGCTCTGGTTCTGGCTTATATGTTGACTCTATATTGGAGAGCCAGGGTGTCATTGTCAAAGTCCGATGCTTAGGTAAAGTACTTGTATTCTTCTAATGAGAATTAATTTAGCTATATAGCCAAATACATACTGGCATTTGAACACTCCATTCCACTTCCCAGCTTTGGACTTCAATGAATTAGTTAATTGTGCTGTTTCAGTTTCATTTTACATCATCTGGAACACAATATATATACATATATATTAAAATGAAGGTTATACTTTTCTGGTATCTTTGATGAGCACCAATGTATTGAACAGATCTGAAGAGGGATGTACGTGGCTGGCATATTCTGGTGCATAATCATGAAAGTCTGTTAAGACAGAACTGAGCAACTCTTTTTGAAAATTTCTGTATCGGTTTGTCCATGTTGTGTCTTGTTTCCGTGTCCGTGCTTCTTAGGGTATAATTTTGAGGGGAAACAGCCTCATTACATTCTTGGTGAGGGGGTGGGGGTTCTAAGCCTCAGCTTCTGGGTGTGTACTGCATTCCCCCCATGACATGAACAAGAAATTGAAAGGCGTTAATAATGTTTCCGATAAGGGCCTCATCAGGAGCCATGACATGAACAAGAAATTGAAAGGCGTTAATAATGTTTCCGATAAGGGCCTCATCAGGAGTTTGACTCAACATTTTGATTTGGTAGTATTGTAAATTAGAACAACTGCATTCGGTGCTCCTTTGTTCTATTATCTTTTAGGATTGCTTTAATTTACCTACCTGCTATTAATATTTATTGTGTTTATAATCCTCTCAATATTTCCATCTAAGCTACTACATTTTACAATATGAAGTGTCGTTCATGTTGCTAGGTCCTGTTTAAGAGAATCAAGTTGATTTGTATTTGGAATGCAAAACCTCAGACCACTGCCCTGTTTTACCTCAGAATAACCATTTTCTTTTCTTCAGTGGAAGCTATAAGGAATTCCTTGGGTTTAGTCTGCTTTACCTCAAAATAACCATTTCCTTTCCTTAAGTGGAATCTATAAAGAATTCCTTGGGTTTAGAGTGCCACAATCTGTTGCTTCTGATGCATGTGGGATTGATTCCATTGTTAATTTTGGTTAGCGTTTGATCCTGTAGTCTAGATTTAGAACTGTATTATCACTCCACCTGCGAGGAGATTCTTGTGGGAAGATGGGGAATTGCTTCTACGGAAAAAGCTGCTTTAATGTTTATAATTTTTGTTATGAGCATACTATTAGTAGGTATAAGATGAAAATATAGAATGATGATGCTTGGCTGCTACATCAGGTCATGCTAGTGACAGCCCTAATTTGGGCCATCATTAAGTTGAAGATAAAAGCCAAAGTAGTTATAATCCCAATGCACTTTTCATATATTTCCAATATTAATATACATGTTTCACACATTTCTATACACTTTTTATATGTACATTGAGACTAATGACCACCCATTGGGCAGTCATCTGAGAAGCATAGACAGGCACAGACACAGGACACATCGATTTTGAAAAAAAAAAAAGATATGGACACAGAAGTTATACGGCAAAAATATTTGTTTTTAATTTTTATGTGTGAGTATAAATTTAGAGCACAAAGATACATCAGGCATTAATGTATATGTGGGTGTAATTTAGAGCACAAAGATATGACGGTTTCATGGATTTTGCTTGCGATAGTTTTCAAATTATAAGTTTCAAATCATTTATGATAAAATGATTTGTTGTTACTATGTTACTAATTTGCTAACTATTATGATGTAGGTTGTGGTGGAACTGGTAACATTATGTGTTCAGTATGCGGTGGTCGAGGTCATCTTGGCTGCAAATGATTTCCAAGGTTTGATTTCTTTCCTTCAATTTTATGTGAATCTTGTATGAGCCAACTTTGAGTGTGGAAAATGTTCTGAAGTTTTGTGTCTATCAAAGACATGTTTGATTCTTTTTCCCCTGATTCATGGATGATAATTTGTGGCAATTTTACACAATTGTCAGTCCATATTTAACCACTATCCTTGTCCTGATCTTTTTTTCTTCTATATGCTTGTTGATTGCATGGTTTAGTGGCTTTCACGTATTTACTTATGTTCTTTGTACAGCGGAATTATTATATTTTAAGCTGTTTTCAAAATGGGGTCCTCATGGTGTAAACCTATGGTTGCTGGATGCTCGTGTGTGTGACCAACAATCTGCACAAAATTTCTATTTCCTCTCTCCCTCTCTCTCTCTCTCTCTGTGGGAAAAGAAATAAGAAAAAGAAAAAGAAGAAAACCTTCTTCCTGTATTTCTATCACTTCAAAGAAAAATAATTGGAACGCATCAGGGTTGTGCGTAATCTGATCCGTTAAGAATAAACATGCAATCTGGTCCAATCTGATAATCTGAGGGATCATAAACGTTTTAATCTGAAATCAGGTTTGTTAACACTTGACCCAGTCTGATTATTTGATAATAATTCTTTTCCTAGAATTTCTGTAGTATTTCCGGCAATTTCCATATGATTAGAGCCCATTAGTTTGCCTATACCCAATCTGAAGAAAAAACAAAGAAAAAATGGGGTGTGTTAGATCTGATTATACTTAATCCTCATCCAATTCGTCACTTGAAGATTTATTAGGTCAATATATCACAGATCTATAATATCCAAGCCATTGGATTTGGTTCAGATCAAAACCTGATCCAATGACTGACCTGAAGTAGGGGAACCCACATTTTATTACTTTAAATTTGTTTATCAGCTTATCAGAAGCATTTTTAGACTTCCTTGCTTTACTATTTGATTTAAAACATTTCCCTGGTTCATTGCCAAACCTAAATGACTCATCTCAGCACTGCTCAGTAAGGAGGAGCATATTTCTTGTGTAAGATGAGAAAAGAGGATATAAATTCTGTTTGCCACGATAATGTGTGGATATTTAGTACATTAATTTAGAAATGTTGGACTTGAATTTGACTTGTTCCCTTTTTGCTCATACTATAGGATATCCAAATATAGAGATAATAATATTCATGGTTGGGAAAAACTTTGGGAGAATTCAGAATTATGACAAGTGTGCTTCTGTTGAACACTAGTTTAGTCAAACACTGGTTGATTGTTGAAACCCAGAGTATATCACTCTGTTCGTCAAATCATTTGCTTTTATACTGCTGCTAGTTGAGATGGTATAGAGGCTTCCGAAAATTGTTGGGAAATGTATTGGATAATGAGATTTTTCAAAATTGTTTGATCAAGACTCGCTATCTTTTTGTTTGTCCTTTCTGTTGCCTGTAATTTTTGGAAAAAAAAAAAATATTTTTGTACGTGCTAACAATTGTCAACTGATAATCCTTCAGGTTGCTGAGTAGGAGGTTGCCAAAGCTGTCTCTGACTTGATTGAGTAGTAAGGTTCAGTACTTTTCTTTTGTATTATGTATGTTTCATCGAGTTGTAAGGCACATTTTGTATTTTGAATTTTGTTGTGTTCATGGGTGCCAATACATGATATGCAAAGCGGTGGGTGTAAACACAATGTGTTTGCAATTTTACGTTTAAATTTTTGAGTAGTTTAATGAATGAAGAAAACCGTTTAGCAATTTTGGATGGTTTAATGAACGAGCAAAATCATTAACACTAATAGATGTGACAGTTATATATATATATATGAAAAGGGTGATTCACCTATGTTTATATCTCACTTTGGATATAAACTCCTGTGCTTGTAGTTGCTTTCAGTCTGTCTTGCCCTCACAGATATAAAACACATTTCTGTGCTTCTTGGTAACATATGATAAGTATACAAACCAAATCAAAGATTCCATTTAATATACACAAAAATTCAATGTCAATATTATGTCCTCCACTTTAAAAATTACAGAAATTTTTACAGCTTTGCTATGCTTTTTATCTAATTCATTGTCTCATATATTCAAACTATATCTCAAAAATGAATGTGAAAAATTGAGTCTGTTAATGGGAAATGGTTGCTTCTGCTTCTGCCAAGTGGTCAGTAAAGTGAGTTATCTGTGATGTCTGGGTTCGAGATCTCTGCAACTCTTGAATGCGAACCGGGATTGTTGAGTCAAATCGAGGGTGTTGTGGGTTCTCTGCATAGGCAACAAGGTACGCCGAAACACAAGCTTGCGGCCACGCCATGGCAACTCGACACTGCAAGGCCACCATAAGAATTGAAGTAAGTTTCTTTCCAAGATTTTAACTAATGGACAAGAAGTTTATTAGTTTAGAAATCATAGTTCCATTTCTTACCATGAAATACCCAATCAAGTAGGCATAGATTGATATTTCAGCTGCATATCCTTTGTGTACCACAAGACACCATGGTCCACCTAGTAGTGCACACACTGCACCACTTGCCATTCCACTTAGGAAACAGAATGAACTTGTGAGGTCAGAGTCAATCACCTGCTCCAACCCACCTCTTCTGAACATCTCCCATGTATCGATCGATGCCTGAACGAAACCCATGTTGTAGGCCCCGGCATATACGAAACCCCATCGATTTGCGTACGTTATGAGCCTCGAACCGACTCCCGAGTAGCAATTAGCACACGAGAACAGAAACTCATCTGTATCACCTGAAATCAAGCTAAGGGCTCGTGCTGAACCCTGGATGAGACCGAGAATTGGCACGAGGGCTGAGCCAACACAGATGCTGCCGAGTGAGTGCTTGAGGGTGTCGCGGAAAGCTACATTTATGTCGAGTTCTGTCCCACTTGCGAAGTTCATGTACTTGACTCGAGAGATTGTGACTTGCAATGTGTACTTGATTACCTGCATTGTCCAGGCTAGGCTTAAGAGGAGTACCAAGATAAAGATGCTGTCGAAAACTGTACCGGTAGCGGTGGCTCCACCAATGCCGGCCACCATGAAAGACGAGTATAAAGTACAAGAGATTATCGTTAGAACGACGAGCACGGTGGTTCTAGGTGGAGGGAACGCAGTGGAAATCGATAGGACCTTGATGGTATGATCAAACTGAGGACTGACCCAACAGGAGTAGAGGGAGAGTACAATGGATGAAACAAGAGCGATGACGGCTGGGGCCAAACTTCTGGAGGAGCCAATGGAGACGAGGAAGATACCGACTGCGCAAGTTAGCAGAGGGCCGAGCCAAAACGCCGCCTTGAGGGTTCTTGAAGGGTTGCAGAGGGTGAAGGATTGCCAAGCGAAGCTGAAGATTCCGGCACAAGCCGTTGAAGCGAGGAGCGGCGGGAACCATTCGAGAGGGCGGAAGTGGTGGTTGGTGGCGGCGGAGATGAGGCCGCGGATGGTGAGGACGATTACCAAGATGGTAATAAGGAAGAAGTGGATGTAGAAGAGGTTCCGAAAGAGCTTCCTGAAGAAGAGACCTCTTGCTGGTTGAATCTGAAACTGGGTGTTGTTGGGTTCTTGTATCTGCATCCAAAGCCAATTGAATTGACATACAATTCAGATAGTCAAACAATCAAAAACCATAAACAAGATATGGGTTCTCTTATATATATCTTTAGAGAGAGAGAGGATACAATTCAGCTAGTCAAACAATCAAAAATCATAAACAGGATATGGGTTCTCTTATATATATCTTTAGAGAGAGAGGATTGATGATGATGATGATGATGATGATGATGATGATGAAAGAGAGATGAACAGTGCCAAGAACAAGAATTGGGTTGAGAGAGAGAGAGAGAGAGAGAGAGAGAGAGGACCTTGAAGGGGGTTGTTGATGGAAGGGGATGATCTTGAGTTTGAGTATGTAGTTGAACCATCTGTGGAGCAAATTCATCGATTCTAGCCATTGTTGTGAAAGCGATGTTGCAGTGTTTTGTTGAGTATAAAATGTTCGAAGACCTTGAGGACTTGTTTTTTTAATTTTCTTTTATCACTTTCTTGGCAGCCACGATTTAGCAAAAGATCAAGAAATGAGAGAATTTTTAACTGTAACACTCAAACATGAATCCCATGTCTTCTTCAACAATTATCATTGTATATATGTGTATATATGTACATTGTGTGAAACAAGTAAGCAGAGTCCTTACTGTAGTTCTTTGAAAAAAGTGGAACTAAAGAAATGCTATGACGATGAAAAAGTTATTTTGAGACGGTCAAAAATTAAATTTTTTTTTTTTTGAATATATGTTTGAAAAATATAAGAGGTGATAGAATTTAAAATAAATTAAAAGTTAGTTTTTGCCTTTTTTTAGTTCTTTTCAAAAGAGCCCTTTCGTTGGGGATATGGGTTGATTTTTTAATTTTTTTGACTTTTTAATTATTTTAATATGAGGTTAAAAAGTTTTGTTTGTGATGCATTTTTTATTTTATTTTTTTTAAAATTTTTTTGAAAGAAAAAAATAAAATGATTATAGTTTGGATATGATATTTTATCTTATTAATTTTTTAATTTTTTTATAACTAGTTTAACTCAAAAATTTTATGTCAAATATTGCCTAAATTTTACTGAAGGGTGAGGTATAAATTTAAAATTAATGAAATGTAAATTCTATCTAAAATGATAATTGGTCACGTGGTTGGAGAGGTGAGGATTGAAGTTTTGGCCACGTCGATGGAGACATGTCAGCAATGGTGACCTGTTGGAGAGGGTGCATTATATGGGAGAAACCAATAATGATTCGTATCACTAAAAAAAAATTACTAATAATATTAATATATTAAGAGTATCAAAAAAAAAAAAAAAACAAGGCGTAAGCAATAAACGGGTCTACTATCACATTATTAGTGACTTTATTAGAGTACTAAAAGAGTGTTCGCAATTATTTTTTGGGAGAAATTGCAAATCAATGAATAGTGAAAGAATATTTTTATTTTTATGATGATAAAAATATTTTATGTGCATGGTATCAATTCTTCTTCTCTCCGTTTGTTTTGGGTGATAGAATGGAGGGGATTGATAGTGAGGGAATTGATAGCGAGAGGATTAATAGTGAGGAATTGTTAAATTATTTTTATATAAAATAATAAAATAAATAAAATATATAAAAATTAAACATTAATATTTTAAAAAAATTCTCAATATATAAAAAATAAAAAAATAAAAAAATCTCTAATCCCCTCACTATTTTTCTAATACCATCTCTACCTCCTCCTTACCAATCCACCTTCCTCCTCCTTACTAGTCCCAAGGGATTACTAATCTCCTCCCTATCTCTCAAAACAAACACTCTATTCTCAATCCCCTCCTTACAATCAAACCCAATCCCCTCCCTATAAGAGCATCTCCAACCCATCCTTCGTATCTTCAAATATGGAGGATCCTCTCTCAAAAATAACTCCAACCCATCCTCTATATCCTCCTCCATTTGGGAGGAGGATGAATTGATCCTCCAAATATAGAGGGAGGATGAAAAAATGGAGGAGACTCTCTAAAACACTATTCACTCTATATTTTTTAATTATATTCGAAATAACTTTTAATGTGTAAATTTAATTTTTATAAAATTGACATCAATAAAAAGTATAAAATCATACCTTTAAAATGAGTATAATATTAAATATGTTTTACAAAAATTTTAAAATTAAATATTTATTAATTAACAAAAATTACTTTTTGATTGGAGTTTGAATGAATAGTGACCTCCTCTATATTTACTTTTTGAATAAAAAATATTAAGAGGATGTGGTTGGAGATGCTCTAACCCCAAACAAACGGGGCCCTTGGGTCTAGTATAACTCTTTTCTGTATATTAGAATTTTATCAAATTTTTATTTTTATTTTTATTTTTAATGCAATTATTATTATTACTATTTTTTTTTTCTGTCTCACTACTTTACAATTTCTCCTATTATATTGCTATGTGGTCCTCGTGATGCAGTTAGAATTTTCCCGGGAAGTGCGTTTGGGCTTTTAATTAAAGAAGGAAAAAGATATGCAAAGTGAAAAAGAGTTAGGTTGTTTGTTTTATTTTTTTGGTTCACTAGTTCAACTACTAACAACAAACCTAACTATTGAATTGTCTTCTCTTCAAAAAAATAATAACAAAATAATTAAGAAATGATAAAGGTAAGAATTAATAAAGTTGAATTAATTTTCATGGATTAAGACTGTCTAATGAGCTATGTGCATACTGCAGTATTTATATATTCTCTCTACTAAAAGTACAGACTCATAAATTGAGTCATAGAAAATTCATAAACAATAAATTTAGTCCAAATAGTCTTGTTTAGGAATATATTATTTTAATAATTTTTTGATTTTATACGAAAAAATGTGCAGAAAAATAGAGAAAGTAATGTCATAACTTATAATAATTTTTTAACTAAAATTGAAGGTTGCCAAAATGAATGTGGATTCACTTTCTATTGCAATTTTCTATGCCTACAAATCAAGTTAATTGACCTCACTTTGATTGAAATTTCTAAAATAGTTTGGAGAAGAAACCCATGGCAAGATTCAAATTGTAATGGTTGTTTGGACTAACAAATTTTTAAAAAAAAATAAAAAAATGTTGTGCATTGGTCAACTAGAGTAAAATAGAACATGACACAATTGATGGAGGTGGGTCGATTGAATTTAACAAACATTATAATATACAATACGAACCTCTCTACCACGTAATTGCGTGTTGAATAATGTGATAGCTACTCCCACTAGTCAAATGAAGAGAATGTTAGTATGTGTTTGGAGAAATTCACCAAACACATTGTCACTTCTTGTTTTGAGATTCACTTTTAAAACTCTTTTCAAGGCAGAAAAGTTTAGCCTAATCGGACGTCTGATCGGTTGACTGAAACAGTTTTTTATTTATTTTTTATTTTTTATTTTTTACAATAGGCACCTGTTATTTTTTATATTTTAAATAAAAAAATTTCAAAATTTTTAAAATTTTTTATGAACTTTGAATAGAACTTTGAGTTGTGTATTTAGTTATGAGTTGTAAATTTTTATATCAAATATCATATGTCACATTAAAGATTTTCCACTCAATTCAAAACTCATTTACCAAACAAATTTTCAACACTCAAATCATAATTTCAAAACTCACAAACTCAAAATACAACTCTACTATCAAATTATATTTAGAAAACTCTACCAAACGCTATTTTATTATTTTTATTTTGACGGTAATTTTTGAAATATTTTCTTTTGAGTGCATAATATTTGCTAACATTAATATTAGGGAGATTACACATTAATGGGATTAGAAAAAATATTTACAAAAAGTAAAAAAATTTATGATTTTAATTTTAATATTTATCAATTTTTTGTAAATATTTTTTCTGATTCTCACTTATGTGTAATTCCTCCTTAATATTACATCTTCATAAGCTTCCTCATTTTTATCAATTAAGCATTTTTTTCTCTGGTAGAAATGGAGATTTCATAGCTACAAAACTAATAAATCAGAATTGTATAGGACAAGTACTGTGGGGTTTTTATTTTGGATAAGTCCCAAGGGAGAGTGGGAATGGAATTTGAAGCAATTGGTCAATTTCGTTCATATCCAAACTTTTGACTTTCTTTAATGGAGTTATAGGCTCTGACATCTTTTTTGGTTGTTACAAAAGTTTTACGACAATGCTACGTACCTCAAATTTTGTGGCTCAAAAGTGGTTTAAATTGTCAAAATGACATCGTTTTGAGTACAGAACAACATAAAAATGGCCAAAACGACGTCGTTTTGGCCATTTGAGCCACTTTTGAGTCACAAAATTTGAGCTACGAGACATTTTCCAAAGTTTTATTGTCCCACATAAATTGTTTCAAATTTTTATTATTAATTTGTGTTTGTTAGATAGAGATTAAATTGGTATAAAAAATATTAGATACTTCAAAATTTTTTATCAAATATCTCATATGAAACTCACATTATATGGGACTTACACCCACATGAGACATTTTTAGTGTGTCTAGCATTACTCAATTGGTATAGCATGAGATCTAAATATGAATTACAGTATTAATGTTTCTAAATTTTGAATCAAAAAAAAAAAAAAAGTATTTCTAAATAAAATTTTGGAATTTTTTTTAAAGATCTTTGATATTAAGATATTATCAGATAAATGACATATAATATTTTTATAGTAATTGGGGTCCCTCAATATTTTTATAGAGAAAATTTGACACAAAGAATTTTTTTTGATTTCACAAGAAGATTTCAAAATTTCTCTAGTATGAGTATAGAGAAATTCCATAAAATAACCTTAGGTAATTAAAAAAAACATATTAAAACTCTCCTACAATCCAAAATTAAATTAAAAAGAGATGTTTCACCAATATTCTGTAAATTTTTTTATAATAATACAAGTACTCTCGTTGTACCAACAAGTTTCACACTCCACTAAAATCTTTTGGAAGACTGCACAAAGGGGTGCACTCAAACTGGACAACTTACCCGGCCCATTAGGGTTTCAGCCCAGTATTTAAGTTTTGATTGAGAGAGTGGAGTGTAGCTGAATTTGACTAAGCCTGTTAAATTTGTTGACATAGGCCCAATTCATTTATGTTCAAATTTGTACAATAATTTGGTTAGAGAATTCAAACACAGAAGTTTTTTTTAGATAGTGAAATTCAAACACAGAAGTTAAATACAAAAATATTTATAAAAAAAAAAACTATTGTGTTACTCATATTCATTTTAAATGTAAATTAGCGAAAATTCATACTATACACGGAATGTGAAAAAATTAATAAAATATATTTATATTAAATAATATAAATAGTTAGATTTTTATATGTAAATTATAAAAATAAAAAAATATTAAAACCTATAATTTAAGTTTTATAATTTTATCACAATTTATGTATCAATTTTTAATTTGTGACAACTTCAATCATGTAACTTTCAACCTGCTCGCTAAAGTTGTAAATTTGGGTGAGTTGAACCCAGGCAACTCGAGTCAAGCTTGTAAAGTTTTAAAGATTGAGCAACATAATTATTAATTTATGTAAAATTCAAAATTTTGAATAAATTTGAATGGGCTTGGGTAGAAACACCAAATAACTTAAGCAATCGAAACAAAATTGTATATATAAATTTATAAAATTATTTTTTTAATAATAAATAAAATTTATTAAAGATTTAATATTAATGAACCAAAGTAAATACAACTTTTAGAAAGGGATCACCCTTGGCACATCATTGTGAATAAAAGTGTAGGTTTGTAACATTGCTAGAACAATAAATTATCACGTGTAACTCCTATTTTCTTTTTTTTTTATTTTATTATATAAAAAAATAAGTTTTACAAACTATCACTTTTAATAGAAAAAAAAAATGCTTATTTCTATTTGATTTTAACAAAAGTTACTTTTTAACTATTTAAGTCAAAAAATTTTATTTTTCTATTTTAATTTGTTTAATTGACAATTGAGATTTTTAAAAAAAAAAAAAAACTAATAGAATCCATTATGTTTGGCAATTGTTAAAGAGGTCATTTATTTTCTTAATATTTTTGTCTTTTGTTAAAAAAATATATTAGTATTAAAAAAAATATTGTTTAAGTCCTTATAGTTTAGAAAGATATAATTTTTTTATTTATAAAATTTAAAACCAAAAATAACAAAAAATAAAAATATAAACTTTTAATAGCGATTAATAATTTGAATACGTTTATTTAATAACATATTATGTTTAGACCAATAATATTATGACACATCATTTTGACACAAGTGAATATTGATTTCATTCTAATTGTAACAACATAATTTAAATTTAAAATTTTATTTTATAATTTAATAAAAGATGCATAAATTAAGGAATGAATATTGATCTTATTTTAGTAACATATTTTAAGGAAGAATCTAAATTTAAAATTTTATTTAAAGAATATAAAATTAATTTATAGATCAATCATATTGTGACACATATTAACAAAAATTAAACAAAATTAAAAAAATAAAAATTAAAAAAGAATTGCAACTTAAAACTTTAATAAGATGACAATGTTTTGCAATTATAATAGTATATAGATTTTTTATGAGATTTTAAAATTCTCATAATATTTCTTCTTAAAGCATTCTTTTGTAAAATATATAAATAATCTTAACGTCACTCTTATTTTACTAAAATAATAATAGCTACTACCACTATTATATAAATGTACTATCTATAGTAAACTATTATTTACATTTATATATTTTAAATATATAAATAACATATTTCTCTTATTTTTTATACATATTTTTATATTATTTAATATATAAATAATAAATGTTAAACATGCCAGTTAACGAGCCGAGTTTTAGAATGTTTGGACTTGTTTATTAAAAATTTAACGAGCTCGAGTTCAAATGCAAAAAAAAAAATTTAACAAATCGAATTTGAATGAATTGTGACCGAGCCGAGCTCAAACCTGTTGACGAATGACTGTGTTTATTTGTAGCCATAGTGGTATGAACTGCAAGTCTAATTGGAACTTCTAGATTGTGCCATTTTAGCATTTAAAAAAAGTGTTTTCTTTTTTGGCCAAAATCTTTTCATTGAGTCTTTTTTTCAGTAAAAGAACAGCCAAAATTTTTTACTTCATAAACTCTCTGAATTTAAGGCGCCTATTTCATGACGAACAAACAAATAAATTTCTGTTTTTTTGGACAATTTTATCCTTCCATATGTATCTAAGGGATTTGAATTAAATCTCTCAGTAGGATTAACATCAAAGCTATCGTTCCTTCCATTACAAAATCCTTCATCGATCGCAGTCCATACAGTTTGTAGTTGGGAGTTTGCAGAGCATAAGAGTTCGATCGAGTTTACAGAGCATGAGAGTTTGATTTTGTATTAATCACTGTTCGTGTTAGAGTTGGAGTTTCAAATCATTGTTTGATTGTTGATAATATGTAATCAATAATCAGATAGTGATTGAATTGTCATTTATTAGATTATTTTGATTTCGATTTCCTCCGATACTATACAGTCATCTCGCTATGTGTTTCCGAGGACGCTCCTCCCTGGGTGTGGGCTCCTCTCATTGCGAATATTAGAGCTTTAGCTCGATGTTCTAATCTATCCTTCCATTGGTCACCTCGGACGGCAAACGGGGCAGCCCACTAGATTGCGAGAGCCTTTCTATTGGATTCTTTGCCAATCAACTGGGTGTTAAATCCTCCCAAGCCTTTGGTGCAAGCTTTGAGCTGAGCTTTGTATTTTGCTTTGTTTTGTTCCCCTGTTTTTCTTAAGTTCCTGTGTTCAAAAAAAAAAAAAAAAAAAATATATATATATATATATATATCATCAAATGTTTTATTTGCTGATGTTTTGTTTAAAAGTGATACTAAAATTTTATTTTGATTTGCTATGATAATATGTAATGTGTTATTTATTTGCTGATACTTTGTTTTAAATTAATATTAAAATTTTACTCTGTTAAAATTATTATTTTATTTTACTTTGTTAAAGTTATGTTTTTGTAATTGTTTATTAATAATTATAGTGACTATGATGTTTAGTGATGATGATAGTATTTTACTATTTAAAAGTTAAAATTTATTGTGAATCAGAGAAAAATTTTATTGTGAGATAAAGTAAGATTTACTATTGATGTTAATTTCGACAGTAAAATTTTTACTATTTTTTTAAAAGAATTTCATCTTGTTTGATAGATCTTGACTAGATGATTATACAAATATTAATTTTACTAAAAGGCGATATCTAAATTAAAAGTTATATCATTTTAAAGTCAAAAATATTAAATTAGTCACTAAGGATATTTTAGTAATAGTAGTTTATGTTGGACTTTTAAAGGTTTATTTATTTATGTTCTTGTTCTTAATATATTAAAATTTTATTTTGAGGGAGTTTTGATCAAATCACCCTTTAAAAATGGGGAAATTATATGTCAGTGGGACGAAAAATTATTTTTTACACAAATATGGAGGGGAGCAAATCACACTTGCACCCCACAACTTTTCATTTGCACCTTATTATAGAATCACTTGCACCTCACATGTTTTTGTAATTTTTTTTTTTATGTTCCACTGTATTGCAATTTCTTCTAAAAAAATTAATAAGTTTAAATTTTGTTTATTTTTTTTGACCCATTTAATAGTAGGTTGGATTTTTTTTTTAATTTTAAAATACTCAACAAATATTGAGTTTCGAATAAGTGGATAAAATTTAGATCTTTAATTTACAAAGCCGATGTAGCACGAGCTGAAATCTCAGACTGGACTCTCTAGTCCATACATAGGTTGAAGAGAAAGCCCAGCTCAATTCTAATACACATATATAAATGTAACCATGAAAACCATAAGAAAAGTAATTGACTTGAGAGGCAACTTTGCATATTCACAAAAAATTTGATTATGCAAAAGTTAAGACTACTAACTTGGCAATGGAGCTCCCAATCTTTTAGTTATTAGTGTGTAGCTTGAGCATGTATTGAAAGCTTTAGATATTCATGGTCATAACCTGGCTAGGCCCATATCATCAGACTGGACTAATAGTTTAGTTTAGTAAATGCATAAGACGTTAATAGTTAAACATTTTCCCAACTTTTGGTGTTCTAATGAAGCTGGTAAGACAGTTAAAAACTTGTGATTCCGGCTAAGTCAATTATTTTTTTCAGTAGTTAGGAAATCGCCAGGTGAAGAGTAGAATAAATATCTTAGTCAGAGTCAGAAAATTTATCTCTTGGCCCTTACTAGTACATGGGCTCTTTCTCTTTCGGATCGAATAATTCAACCTAGTACGTGGAGGTTATGTATTTTAAGTATGTGAACAAATTCTAAAGTGTGTGAACAAAATATGTATTTTAATTAATGTAATATTGTCAAGTTTACAAATTTAAATAAGATCAATACACTTTTTAAACCTGAAACTCATAATTTTGAAACAGTCAAATAATGTGTATTCTTGACCCAGTCTCAGTGTGGAGCAAATTCATTTTTCTATATTTGCTATGGCTAACATTGTAGTGAACCCATGTGATTAGAATATAGTAGTGCTTAAGAGAAGAATGTTTGGATAAAAAGGGTGGGACTTGAGGTTGAATAAAAAGGGATAAAATGTTGCATTGTTTTGTTAAATTTGTGTCGATTTCAGCGTCTTCGCAGTTATTAAAATAGCTAATACTTAACAAGTAAAATTGGGTCGTTCAAACAAAAAAAAAAAAAAAAGTAAAATTGGGATTCACTTTTGCCTTTTTGTTCATTTTAACACATTTTTTTATAATTTCCAATGGAAGGATTACAATTTTGTCATTTTTTTTAATTATTTTTTTTCCAGTAATGATTTTGCTATTATAATTTAACAATTTAAGTTTAAAATAAAAGAAAATGACAATATTTTTAAAATGTATAGTTTTTTTAAAAAAAGTATCATTTTATTTCAATTTTAAATTTTAACCATTGGATTATGTTCTAATTAAAGATTTATGATAAAAACATAATAAAATTATTGTAAAAAAAAAAGTAGAAATTGCTTTTTAGCGAGACTGAGTAAATATTCTCATTTTTGTAGTAGTACAAGTCTCTTGTGTTGCAAATCTTTTCTAACTATTAGACTTAAAATGCAAAAAAAAAAAAAAAAAAAAAAAATCTATCTATAATATAATTATTTTAAAACTGTCTGATTTTTTTTTTTATATAATTTTTCAAAAAAAAAAATCTATCCATGTCCCAGTAGAGATGTTCTAATGTCTATATGTGAATGTCATATGTGTGTAACCCACTAACCAAAGAATAAATAAAATAGACAACCCCTTTTCTCTTTTTAAGAAAGTGTGGGAAGGAATACATGGTAAGAAAAGCATATAGCACCAACCCTTAATAGTGAGTGACACATGAAGCCCTTCCCTTAGAAGAAAGGCACCACTCCAATATGTCTCATCTACACTCTTCCCCCCACCCCCCACCTTTTATCTCCAACCCTTTTCAAGCCTCCAATAATCACCACTTAACTTCCCTCCTCTAACCCTTTTTTTTTACACCCCAACTACTCTCTCTGTCCAATGCTCTTTGCAAGCTGCAACAAACTCCCACTCCAATGGGTATCAAGATTTTCACAATCTTTCTCATCATCCTAACTTCAATCATCTTTTCTCTCCTCTACATCCCAACCCAACTCACCATTTTCAAGCCAAGCAAAACCTTCATCATTCCCAGCTATGCTAAGCCTTATCCAGTGACCTTTGCCTACTTGATCTCAGCATCCAGAGGTGATTCCCACAAGCTCAAACGTTTGATTCTTGCACTGTATCATCCTGGGAACTACTACTTGATTCATGTGGACTCTGGTGCTCCTGTGAGTGAGCATTTGGAGATTGCTAAGTTTGTGTCTTCTGAGCCAGTTTTTGGCCAATTGGGTAATGTTTGGATTGTGGGAAAACCCAATTTGGTGACCTATAGAGGTCCAACCATGCTTGCTACTACTCTTCATGCAATGTCTATGCTTTTGAGGACTGCTAAATGGGATTGGTTCATCAATCTTAGTGCCTCTGATTATCCCTTAGTAACCCAAGATGGTATGGTGAGTGCCCTCTTATTATTCTGTTTGTTTTTGTGTTCTCCTAGTTTATGTTTGGATTTAAGGAAAAGAAAGGAAAATGTGGGGTGGAAAATTATTTTATATTTTTGGGAGAATTAGGAAAAACTTAGAATAATTACGGACATGAAAGTACAAGTAATTTGTGTTTTAGTATAAGTGAAAACTGTGACCTTATCCCACTTGTATTTTTATATTTTTACAATTATTTTGAATTTTTTTTTTTTTTCTCACTAAAACACAATTCCTCCTATATTTATTTTAATTTTTCTACATCTATGATGAGATAATCTGATGAACCTTTTTTTTTGGGTGTAATCTCAGATCTGATTCATGCTTTCTCTGCTTTGCCAAAAGATCTCAATTTCATACAACATAGCAGTCACTTGGGTTGGAAACTGTATGAGATTTTCCCAAATTTTTTTAGGTACTACAGATATGATTTTCAAATTTTGGGTGAGAAAATTAGTATTTTTGTTCAAATCTTTTGCAGGAATAAGAGAGGAAAACCAATAATAATAGACCCAGCTCTCTATAGTCTCAATAAATCAGAGATCTGGTGGGTTATCAAACAGAGGTCTCTCCCAACATCCTTCAAGCTCTATACAGGTAATTTTATTTGTTTATTATTTTTTTCAACGAATAAATTTAGAATAAATTACACTGACTTCCTTATAATTTGGAGAATAAATTTAGAGTTGTCTGAAAATTAATTTTGTGTAAAGTTAATTTTTTAATATTTTTTTGATGCATAGTGATAATTTTTTAATTTTTTAAATAATTTTTTAATTTTTTAATTTTTGATTTTTTTTAAGTACCCCAAACCAGAATTAAAGTGTTATACATTTCAATATAAATATTATTATTATTATTATTTTTTTATCTATATGATTAACAAATTATTAATAAAAGTTAAGGAGTTGTTTGGGGTGTTCTAAATAAGTGCACTTTTTGACTATTCGGACTAAAAAGTTGAGGAAAAAATATGATTGTTTGAAATAACTTTTCAACTTTTTATGAAAAAATGTATATTAAAAAATTATATAAATTAGTGTATAGGAGAAGATTGGGATGGAATAGGCAGTATGGTGGGATGAATTCATGACAGCGCGTGCAGAGTGTAGGTTGAGAGATGATTCCCTGCTTTTCGGGCATTGAATTGGAGGTATTGTTCGGCCCGTGGGGGCCCACCACGGGTCCCATTTTGCTAATAAAAACCGTGTGTAGAATTCGTTGAGTACTATATGCTTATAAAAAATCACGTGATTGGATTAGTTTTGTTTCAACCGTTAACTATAACACCATCAATTTTATAAATTTTAACTGATTTGATCATATAGTTACCTATATCCGATCAACGTGATTTTTTATAGGCATATAGTACTCGACGAGTTCTACAAATTGACGGTTCAAATTATTAAAACGGAACCCGTGATGGGCTCCTACGGACCGAACATCACCGTGTTATTTGTGCACCTAAATAAGTGCAATTTTTTCAAAAAGTCAGCTCTACCCGTGGGACGTTAGAGTTGTCTGAAAATTAATTTTGTGTAAAATTAATTTTTTAATATTTTTTTGGTACATAGTAATAACTTTTTAATTTTTTAAATAATTTTTTAACTTTTTAATTTTTTGACTTTTTTTAAGTACCCCATACGAGGCCTAAATTAAGTGTTTTGTGACTAACAAATTGTCATTCAGCAGAACTTGTCATAAAAAAGAAATAATTTTATATTTCTTGTGATTAGTTTTGTTATTGTCGGTTATGTGTTTATTGATTTTTTTTTTTTTAGATCCATATTGATTTTTATTTTTATATTTTTGATTAAGCTATTTTTAAAGTTATGTGCAGGGCTTTTTTTTACAAAGTGACTTTACACACACTTCCTATCAGTAGCATGTGAAGTTCTGGTGGGTATACAGACATATAAATGTGCCAAGTACATAGTACAACATGTATATGGCATTTTATGGGCGAAAGAAAATAAAATAAAATTTATGGGTTTCTTTGAAAAAGGTCCATCATGATGTGACAATGGCATAAAATCAAAATACATGTATGTCGTATCCTTAAGGGCCCAGTTTGGAGCTAATAAATATTTACCATATACTCTCTAATGTACTGTTTATTTAACTTTCGTTTCATTTTTTTGGGTGGAGTGTTGTTGACACTTGTCTTCTATACTTCTAACACAAAAGTAATACGGCCCATAATTTAGACTAATAATTATTATTTTGGAGGATCACCTAGACTTGCTCTTAGGCTATGTTGGATTCTACAAGATTAATAGTGAGGTATTAATAATCCTATGAAATTAGTGTGGTATTCACAATCCCACCCCTATCCTATTACTAATAATCCTATAAATTTGTTGGATTAACTATCCATTGGATTAATAATCTTAAAAAAAATGTCAAAACAAACATAGGATAATTGGGCCCACGGATTAATAATCCTAATCTCATACTCTAATCTTTCCAATCAAACATGCCCTTAGAGTATTGAATAATTTTTTGTTGTTACGGTTCTTGTGTTAGCTTTATTTTTCTTTATTTTAAACTTAGGGTGTACAAAAAATAAAATTAAAAAAAATATATATTTCACAAATTTTAAAATATTTTATATATCTTTTATTTATTTTCAAAATAAACATCATCTTAATCCCAATGCTAAGGCATTGTTTGGGAACTTGGTTTGGGGCTAAAATAGCCACAAAAAACAAAATAGGCTATTTTAGCCACAAAAAACAAAACATCAAATCCAACCCATAATCATTACAATCCTCTCTCACAAAAAAAGCCAAAAAAGCCAAAAAGCCAAAAAGTCCTTCCCAAACCAGGCTAAAATAGCCCAGGCTAAAATAGCCAAAAAGCCAAAAAGCCAAAAAGCCAACCCACTTCCCAAACGGAGGCTAAACAATACCCAACTTCTGGTGGTAAATTAATGATGGAAAATGTTAAAAATAACCCATAGACCGTCGTTAGTGTTGAAAAAAAAATGTGTAAAAAATATATCAAAGTGTATTAAAATGTATAAAAATATTTTGGAACTATAAATATTTTAGTATTTTGTAGTGTTGACGGACAACCCTTGAAGCTGTTATAAGCAGGACCTATTAATAATTGCCTTGAAATGATGATGAGGGTTGAGTAAAACTCCGTAGTACAATTTTAATGCCCACAGACAGTACTAAAAGTAGTTGAATCAGAGCAGGGGTTGAAACTTGAAAGTGGGTCAAGGTTTACCCAAATGTGAAGCAATTGGAAATTACTTTATAAGCCCCACATTAATGAATTGGGCCACCAAATCAAACTTGGAAAGAAGCTCCCTAGGAAGCCCAATTCTTGGATGAGTCATTTGAATTTGATTCATTGAATGTATGTTTTTTCACATAAACAACTGAGTTGATGACTAATTATCCAACATTTTGGCGTAAACCCTTTCTTTGGCTTAGTGCATTTAGTCATATGTTTGGTTGGTGATTGATGCAATTGCTCATTGATGTCACAATCTGCATCAAAGACCTACTTGAATACTTTGTTGGAGCATTTCATCACCATGCCTAACTATTTCAGCTACCACTATTAACTCTACAATTTCCCTTTTTCATAACCAAATTTCACACCAAATTGAGCTCAACAACCATATCATATTGAATTTGGATAATGAGGTGGAAGATCTCAAAATCATTCTAGCTGAGATTAACATGTTTAACCCTTGTCAACTAAAACAAGTCTAGTTTCGTACTTTTAAGTGTAATTTTAGGGAGATGTTTTAATTCTTAGTGATTGCTCCAAAGCTTTTATGATTTTGAAGAGGGCACAAACCGATGGATAGGTGATTTAGGTTCCGTGATCAAGAAAATACCCACGTGAATGTTGGAATACTTTGATTTTCTTCTTGTACAGACATCGTCTCTTTGAAACTGATAAATTATTTATCACTCTTTTTTGGCTTTTAAAATGTCCAAAAATGATATAGATTTTTAGATTGGACTAATTGAAGCAGGATGTGTAGTTAGCACTTAACAGCACATTGCTTTGCAATCACAAACAAAAACAAATTGTACTGACCATGAATTATGTTCATAGAAATTGGAAAGGTGTTTGTTCTATGCTTGAGTTGTGAATACCATTTAATTAACTAATGCGGGTTGTGGTAGGCCTCTCAATAGATCGGATTCGGATGAGATCTCAAGTAATCTGAATCTGACCTAATTTATTATAATACTCTTTTTTTTTTGATTTTTTATAATTACAATTAGAATTTCACTTTCTTAATTTTTTTTCCCTAGTTGGTGCTCATTTTTTAAAAATATAATAGTCGTGTGTATACATATAAAATGTAAGAATGAAAATCAGATCAAATTGATAATCAGATTGGATTATCTGAATCCAATCCAACAATAATCGAACTAGGATTTTATTGGATTTATCTATTCAAATTTTATTGGATTATTGTATCGGATTTGGATTAAATCCAATCTGTTGACAGGCCTAGTTGAAAAATGCAGATTCGCTAATTTGCACATCAATATTTGCAGGTTCAGCTTGGACAATACTATCAAGATCATTTGCAGAGTACTGCTTAGTTGGTTGGGACAACCTACCAAGGACTCTTCTCCTCTACTACACAAATTTTGTCTCCTCTCCGGAGGGATACTTCCAGACCCTCATATGCAACTCCCAGGACTACAAGAACACCACGGTGAACCACGATCTACATTACATCACTTGGGATAATCCTCCAAAGCAACATCCCAGGTCCCTCGGACTCAAAGATTACAGAAGAATGGTCCTAAGTAGCCGTCCATTCGCCAGGAAATTCAAGCAAAATGACCCGGTCCTTAACAAGATAGACCGCGATCTTCTCAAGAGGCGTCGTGGACAATTCTCATATGGGGGTTGGTGTTCTAAGGATGAAATTGGAAAGTCACATGGTACGTGTCCGGGTTTGGAGAGTGAGAAATATGGTGTTTTAAGAACTGGGACGGGGTCGAGGAGGTTGAGAACTTTGCTGACAAAACTGTCGTCTGCCCAGAGCTTTAATAAGCGGCAATGTAAATGATTTTTTGAAACTGTGTGAACGAATAAAAGCCGAGGATAATGTTAAAAGTACCCGGTATACTGTGGGAAGGGTAAGTAGTTAGCCATTGAAATTGTTTGTACAATTAGGTGGTTGAAAAGATGTTATGATATCTTCATTGTGAAATTTCACAATTTTTCAGTAGAGAGCTGGTTATGGGTTGTAATGTTTCCCTTGTACCTGTAGATATGTGATTTTTTACTTTGTATTTCAATATATTTGTTATGATGCTTTTGCTTTGAAGGCAATTCTGAAATGAGAAGACAGTAGTGAGATATGCTGGGGTCTGCTGTGGTAGAGATTATTCTAAATGTAGTGAAAAAAAATGGGCAAAGTCATTTGGGGCAAGCAATTCGAGTTCGGCACATTAAAAGTTTGTTTTGACATTAACTTGTTGTATAAATAAATCAAAGTTAAATACATTTTAAAATTTATTTAGTTCTAAAATAAAGTTTAGTTTTAAAATAAAGTTTGAACAATTTATTGCTGGGCTCAGTTAGGTTATATGTCTCGATTTGGTAATACGTACTATAAATGACCAAAAACTCAGGCTTTGCTTTAGTTTGAAATCGGACTGGACTGTGTTGTTGGGCTCTGTGGGCCCACCATGGAATCTACATCGATAATGAGAATCGTTCAATGTGTAGACCTAATTGATTGCTTTATTTTTGAAAAAATCACGTTGATTGGATATCGATAGTCATTTGATCAAATTAAATTTGTGTCAATGGTAACTACAATACTAAAAATAATTTGTTTATACAAATGTGATTTGATCAAGTGGCTATTCATATCTGATCAACGTGATTTTTTACAGGAATGAAATATTCGACGAGTTCTACGCATTGAAATGTTCAAATCATCGATGTGGGCTTTGTGGTGGATTCATAGAGGCCCAACATTACGCTATAGTTTGGAATTCCAGCTAGAGAGAAGTTGTTCCCATAACCAAACTACTCAACTTGATTGATACTCATTTGAGATTGGCCTAATTAAATAACTTACATTTTGACTCGATTTTGGTTTATTTAGCTCAACTCGGGATTGGCCTAATTAAAACTTGTTTGAATTTAACTCAAAAGTAAATAATATTGGTTTACATAATATACTACTCATCTCGATTTGATTATAAACTAGGGGAGGATGCACTAGGTAAAAAAAATTGATCATATAGAGGTTGAATTCATAGTAAACTTGTTTGAATTTAACTCAGAAGTAAATAATATTAGTTTGCATAATCTACTACTCATCTCGATTTGATTATAAACTGGGGGGGATGCACTAGGTAAAAAAAATTGATCATATAGAGGTTGAATTCATAGTAATGTTATAATGAGTATGTTTATGTCATATTGGGTTTACAATGTTATTTGTCATAATTGTATTCGTTGCATGAATCTTATTGCTCATGTTTCTTATCAATACAATGGCACATCACATAGTTAACTAAATGTGATATATAAATAGGGTAATTGCGGACTTCACATACATGTGAGATATTTGGTCGTTTGTTTGGTAGAAAATTTGAAACTTATAGCATTTTCTATATAAATATAGTGATTATAGCATTATTTTTTATGAGTAATACTAGAAAATTTGGTAAAACTTTTGGGGTCACTAGCATTTTTCATTTTTTATAGAGTAAATTATGCAAATGGTCCTTGTAGTTTATATAATGTGTCAATTTGGTTTATGTTGTTTTAATTTGCTCAATTTTGTCCATTGATTTAACGAATTGTGCCATATTGGTCCAATAAATAATGGCCGTTAAGTTTGGTGGATGGAAACTTAGACAATGTGTCAGTTGGTGCTTGTAGTTTATACGATATGTCAATTTGATCCATGTCAAAATTGAGCAAATTAGAATAATAAGGACTAAATTGACACATCGTGTAAATTATAAGATCATTTCAACATGTGACAACTTTTTGTCTACCAAACTTAACAGTTGTTATTTATTAAACCAATATGATACAATACGTTAAATTAAGGGGTAAAATCGAACAAATTAAAACAATAAAAATCAAATTGACACATTATATAAATTACAGCGACCATTTGCATAATTTACTCTTTTTATAATATGAGCCATTTTTCTCAACTAAACATGAATTATGTGAATGCCTCAAAAGGTGAATCTAATCTTATATTTTTTTCTTGTAGACAAATTTATCACATATGATACTTTTAGGTTGTGTTTGGATAATAAATTTGGATAAAAATTTAAAAAATAAAAAAGAAAGAAGTGGGTAAAATGTAAATGAAATATAACTAAATTTCATTTATTTTGCTTTCTCTTTCAAAATCTTTACCTAAATATATGATCCAAACATAGTCTTAAAGGAAAAATGTTATGACTTGCGTCATAAGGAAAGTCAAGATTTTTGTGGTGAAAGTTATGAATGGTGAAATTATGTTGCACACCCTTAAACTGTGTTTGAATCATAGATTTGAATAAAAATTTAAAAAGGAGAAGGAAAAATGTGAGTGAATTTTTTTCTCCTTTTCAAATTTCTATCTAAATCCATGATCCTTTAAAAAAATAAAAAATAAAAATAAAATAAAAATAAAAATTCTTATCTAAATTCATGATCTAAACTTCTCACACACCTTTTTTGTTGTTCTTTCTAAATTCCTATCTAAATTCATAATACAAACTGAACGTTAAAATTATGTATAATTAAAGTTATACTCTTATGAAGAGTAAAAATTTTTATATATATATTTTTTGTGATAAAAGTTACACTTGTTATTGCTTTAAATTTTGATAGACCATGTCTTACTTTGGTTAATTGGATTCCCCTTTGCAGGTAAGATCAAGCTCAATACTGATGGATGCGCTTGAGTTGATCCAGGAGAAGGTGGGGTTGGAGGGGTCTTCAAAGATGAAACAGGTGTGTGGCTTTGTGGAGTGTCGGGGACTTGAGTCATGCCAAAGTTTGGAAGCTGAAATGTGGAGCATATATTGAGGGTTAACGATCGTGCTGGAGAATGGTTTGTATGAAGTAATAGTTGAGGCTGATTCAACTTCGCCTGAAGAACTACTCAATGAAGGACCACCTCAAAGATGCCCTTTCCACAGTATTGTTGAAGACTCAAGGCACTTGATCTGTAGGTGCATTTGCAATATCTTGCGCGAAGGCAATAAGTGCGCTGATATTCTTGCAAATATGGGCGCTGAGCGAACGAAACAACCGGTGGTAGTGGAGGACCCACTTGATGTAGTTAGGAGCCAAATAGTGGCAGATATGATTGGGATGACATATCGAAGGATCTAGCCTCTGTATTGCCTCCTTTTTTGCTTGTTTCTTTGTTATTTTTGCATTCTATTCCGATGTACCAAATACATATATTGGGATGCACATGATTGTCTCTCTCATATTTCTGCATTTTATTTTTTGGTGTATTATACAAAAAAGACATTTCACAATCCTCCTATTGTTTTGAATTGTGACAAAATAAAAAGAGTAAATTACAAATACACTCTTTGAAATTTGTTTAAAACATAGATTGTTCCTGAGAGGGAGATTTATGCCGAACATTGGGTCGAGCAACACCAATGCGGAATGTGGTGTTGGGCCGAGCTATACCTATACGGAATGTGGTGTTGGTCCGAGCAAAACCAACACTGAACATGGTGTTGGGCCATGTTAGACTGGTCTATACCAACACTGAACATGGTGTTGGGCCACGCTCCTTTGGGCATCACGGTTGACAAAACCGTGTCAGGACCGCTAGATCAACCGGACTGAACTCGACATAGGTTGGGCACGAGGGATGAGTGGCATGTGTTGGGCTATGGTGTGAGCCGAGATGACGATCGACGTACCCATCAATGATCGGTTTGAAAGAATACCGACTTGGTTCAACTCGGCTAAGGAATGTTCTAGGTTAACGTTTTGGTGCCACAAGAGTTTGCTCGGTTCAAGGTTTCAACGTGGACCAATTACAAAGGGTGAGGAATTTTCTCTTGCTATGCGCCAATACGGTTTGGTGGTTTGGCTAATACTGTTTTGCAGTACTGGCATATACACGTGTGAGGAATGGAGAGGACAATATAGCCACACATCCAGCAAAGCATAACAGAGGTAGTGCACGCACAATTTGGGACTGCATGGCCAGCCTAGAAAAGGAGGCGCGAGTAGACTTTAAAAGGTAAGAAAACTTTAACAACTCTCTTTCTCTCTCTACAGTGCTCAACCTTTTCTCTTCTTCAAGAAAGCTAACTTGGTCGTCGGAGGATTTTTCCGACAACCCACCCGCCGAATAGCTCACCCTTATTTTGTCCTTAGATTGAACGACTTCATTCAAATTAACGTGGAGCTTGGATCCAAGGAGTAATGAGGGTGATGAATATTTGTTTCCCGTACAGTTCCTTATAGTTTGAAAAATTACAAACATCTCATTGTTAATTTTTTTTATTTAATAGAATTAACTATAAAAATAAAATTTATAACTGCTCTCCTATATAATAATAAAATTATGTTAATTATTAATTGAAATAAATTTATGATATTATTAAAAACTGTTAATTGAGTTAATGCTTTATTAATAAAATGAGCCATTTATTATTAAATTAGAAAATTCAAGGGAATGAAATATAATTTCTAATATCAAAAAGAACGAAATCATATTTTAAACCAACATTAAGAATGTATTTTTAATTTACCGAAATAAAAAATTTGAATAACAAAAACAAAAAGAGAGAGAAGATATATAAAGGCAGTTTCGATTGGTAGCTCGAAAATAATAAGGCTCGAATGGCCTGAGTCCAAAACGACATCATTTTGGCTTCTTCTTCTTCTTCTTCTTTCTTCTTTTTTTTTTTTTCTCTTTTTTTTTTTCTAAAGAAAGAGAAGAAGAAGAGACAAGAAAGTGAGAAGAGAGAGCTAGGCATCATCATCAATAACATCTTCACCAACACGTCATTATCATCAATCAACAACATCTTCATCAGCACATCATAATCATCAACACCAACATCTTCTTCATCATCATCAACAGCAATTTTTTTTTTCCTTTTCTTTTTCCTTCATCTTTAGATCTAGATCCACTAGAGATCATCAACAACAACAACACACATCATCATCAACAACAACCAACAATCACCACCAAAAAAAAAAAAAAAAATATTGTAAAAAAAAAATTGTAGAATCTAAAACAGAAGCAAGAGAAAACAAGAAAATTATAAAAAATGAAAGCAAGATTTTTAAATATTGTTTTTGGGTTTTGTTTATTTTAAGAAATTTGGGGCAAAACAAATTAAAAAAAAGGGAG